ATCCTCAGCACCACATAAAAATAAAAGGCATTGTATCCATCTACAACTATATATATTTTTTAAAACAATTTGTAGAAACTGCCCCAAGTAATAATCAATTCCAAAGACAACATAGATTAATAACATGGTTTTCAGTTTGGACATATGAAAGGGTATAACAAAGGGGCCTACCTAAACAGCCTGTCTTTGATGGTAGAACATGTTTTGAAACTTTAAACTAAACTTCTCAGTAATTTGATGCCAGGGGCTAGACAAATCATCTGAGTTCACGACCCAATGGAATGACAGGTCTCTGGCTAAGCATCAATTACGGAAAATACAGAGGCTACTACCTCTTCTACACTCCAGCTCCCCCTGGAGTGTGGGGAGGTAGGGGGTGTCTTATTGTGAAACCTGGGCCCTTCTGATCAGTAGGCTTCCAAGAGTTCCTTCCTGCCTTGATTCTATCACCTAAAAGTTCCCCTAAATCAAACTTCAGTTTTTGCTGAAAATCTTGCTGTTACTCAATAAGAACAAGCTCCCCTCCATACCCAGAATCAGAACAGAACTGAAACCCGGGTCTCTGTCCCACAAGCAAAAAGGCCCCATCTCAGCCTAGGGACGCCTAAGACAATGCAACCTCAACTACAGGATGCAGCTGGAAGACCTTTTCTTGGGGATCGAGCATACGGGCCAAATGTCCCTAATAAGAAATCCATTTGCACACAAGAGAATCACCTTTCCCTTCCTTCAACAGCAGCGACAGCAGCAGGCCTCTCAGGCCGGCGCCTTCTTGGCCAGTGTCTGCTCTCCAAGACCACGAGCCTCTTTCACCATTGACACAACTCACTCCAGTACTTTTCCAGAGCGCAGGCCCTTGAGCAGCGTGACAGGGCTCTCGGCGGTTCCTCTTCCCTCGCCCGAGCGCCACTGACTCAGGATTGCCCAACAGCCTCTCGAGCCGGGCTGCGAGGGCCGCGCGCCCGGCTGATTCACTCCCGCCACGCCGGCCCTCGGCGGCGTCAGGCACACACGTCTCGGGCCCGGAGGGCACCCGGACCGGGCCTCCACGCGCTCCCCGGCCCCTCCGTGTCCTCCAGGAGCCTCTACATACCACCATGCCCTTC